TGAAAGCGGGATTGTCCGCGCAGACTTTATGTTATACAGAAAAAAGTCAAACGGTGTGATTTCACACAATCTTGTCTCGGCCCAAAACGTGACATTATCCACTCACTGAAAGGTTTTCTCGATGCATTCCAACTGCCAGAGCTGCTGGTGGGGTTGCTATCGATGTTATTGCCCGGTACTGTCGTGATGGAACGGAAATTCTTCCCTATACGTCATAACTGACCGCTTCTCGGCGATTGTTTTTTTCCGACGTCGAAGTCGAAGTTAAGTGTTTCGGCGTCTGAATAGATTATTCTTTTCCATTTTCACGAAAACATATTGCAAACCCTCCTGACCATCAATTATTCGTTTGCGGTTCCACCACGACCATTTTCACTTGAGGAAAAGTGAGCCACTTTTCATAACCAGTAATCATATGCTTCAGAAATGGATCGATATCAGTTTGTATATACGCGAACTAGTCCCTCAGTTTTTGAGTTACCGATCTGAAAGTTCGCTCTCGTCTTCATTTCCACAAGAAGCTGCTTATTTCTCAAAAACGCCAATATCGATGAACTATATATACTTAGCTGCCATACAAACTTTTTCTTTTAAGGAGATATCTTCATGAAATTTAGCACGAGTCGTTTTCTAAGATAATAATGCAATCTCTGCAGAACAGAATGTTACAAATGGCCGCAGAAATTGTTCAACCTGCCATAGAAACTGAACGATTGGAACCGAAAGCAAGGAAACATATAAAACTTGTTGAATTGAAATGTTAAATGTAGTACATATCGTTCAAACCACTGAAGCTAACACAATTGAACTTGCCGAGAAAAAGTCTCTGCAGTATTTCTTCACACACTCTGAAAACAGATAAAATCAGACTACATCCCCATGTCACAGTTATGTTGCAAATTGTTAAAAGTGCGACAACTTATTGAAGAAATGAGCCACAAGCAATAGATTTCACAACCAGGTTGACAGAAAAGAGCTTTATGGGGGCCGGTGTAGAAATTAGACAATGGACAATATCTCTGAAATTAGCTGATGAATTTCAATCAAATATATTTGGTTAAGTTATCCAATTATTAATATTCTACACTATATCTTGACTTGTACCAAAAATACGTAAAATCGTATAAACTCTTAACTTAGCCTTATCTAACATACATCTTTACGAACTTCCGGTTCGCTTCATACCGCATTTATTGGTCAATATGTAATTAAGTTGTAATGAAATTCGGTTACACCCGAACTTAGCCTTTCCTTATTTGTTTATCTCTTAAAAGTAAAGTGATATTAGACCAACCATTTGCCTCATTGTTTCCTCTCTTTCATGGAATCATAATCAAAAGCGGAGTTTTTCCACACATAAATAACAATTTACAGGCTGCCGGCGGGATTTGCGACAAATTTTCCGCACTGCGCGACAACAAGTTGCTGCTTCATACTTCCAACCTAGCTGGAGTCCGTTCCACTTTGTAGTTGCTTCATTTTATGGCTGTTTTGCATTTCCAGCTAAGACCTTGGCAAATTCATTTTTATTAATCCACTTTCACTTTAACTCACTTACATACTTAAATCTTGTTCTACGCATGCTTTGTCTTTCTTATTTGATGCTACGCTTTCATTTTGCTGTTGTAGTTATTTGCTTATGCTGCCTTACGCTGGTGAAAAGTTAATCCACGTTATTATTTAAGTTGCTGGCAGCTCGGTAGCCCGGTTGACTGTGTCGCTAGCTGTGGTGAAGATGGTGCTGATGGTTAATGTCCTTCTGTTCTGCATACTTGTGTACATATGTGCACGTGTGTTGTGTAGTTGTTGTTGTAGCCAACTTGAATACTCATCCCGTTTTGTTGGCGCCACTTGTTTGTCAATTCTCTTTTTTTGTTTTTTGGTTTTTGTATTTGTTTTGTTTTTTTTTTTCTTTGGTCATTTTATCATTTGCGCCCACTGTCAATTACGCCAGCCTAAGCTCAATATGTTCGAGCATTTAGCAGATAAACAAGCCCACATACATACATACATACTATGTATGTATAAAACGACTATTATGTGCGGTATAGGGTACAAGCATGTCATGGCAATAGCTCCTTATCAACTGTCATCAGCCAATGACGGAAGCGTTTCGCCTCTAACTCGACTAAAAACCTATCTCCGCTGTCATATCTGAGCTGTTGATTGCTCTTAGTTTTACTACTCCACACACACACCCCTTCATACAAACGTATATACAGCAACCAACTACCATAATGCTCACAAATATAATAATTTTTAGATGCTACTTCAACCACGCTGTGGTAATTGAACTAGTTATAAATTACCTTGTAACTAGTACGAAGTGCGACTAAGCGACTAACTAGCGTTTTTTGTGAAGCGTCTCACAGTCAGCTCACACTAGTTTGAAGAAAAATCAAACTCAATTATAATTCAACTCCACCTGATCTCTCTAACAGAGTGGAGGTCTTCCTCTTCTTCTGCTTTCCACGGCGGGTACTGCGTTGAATACCTGCAGAGCTGGAGTGTTTTCATTCATTGGAACACATGATCTAGCCAGTGTAGCCACTATCTCTTAACTTGCTCAACTACAGGGTTTACCTGGAAAGTAATAGGACTGATTTCTTCCGCCGCGACTGTATTTCGGAGCGTGCGCGCACCGACTGGATTCGATATAAGGCGTTTCACGTCGCTACCTAACCCAGATGTGGCCCTCCCGGACTCTTTTTCCTTGCCTGAAGAAGAGGTCCAAGCAGTATGCATCTCGGCTCTCAAGGCTATTCCGGAGAATGCCTTCGCTGCATCGACGCAAAGGAGCCTATTTTGAAATTTTTGAAAGAATCGTAACGATTTGTTTAATAATTTGTTTTTAAATCGATTCAGTCCTATTTCTTTCCGGGCAAACCCTGTTCGAGTAACTCATTAAAGTAGTAAGTTATTTGCTTTTGTTTCATTCGATTTATGCAAATTGTTTGTTCGATTCTTCACTTAGCAAGCAAGTTTTGACAATTTGAAAAATTATTTTGAAATTGTAAATAAAACGCAAAATCGTTAATTATTCATCAATATTTATTTTGTCGCGTTCAAAGTAATCCCACCAGATCTAGTGCATTTATGCCAACGATTTTTCCTGTTCTAGAAACAATTTTCATAAGCGCTCTTTCTGACGGCCTTCAACTCCTTAAACGAATTTTGTTTTATTTCTTCGATCGACTGAAAACGAGTTCCATGGAACAGCAATTTCAGTTTGGGGAACAAGAAAAAATCACACGGAGCCAATTCTGGTGAATACAGTTTTTGATCGATTACATTCATTACATTTTTGGCTTCAAATTGGTCATATCGTCATACCTCGATGGGATGGTGTATTATCGTCGTGTAAAATCCATGAATTATTCTTCCACAATTCTGACCGTTTTCAATGGATATTCTCACGAAAACGCATCAATGCGGTCAAATAGAACTCCTATTGACCGTCTGTCCTTGCGAAAAGACAAATTCATGATGCATCAAACTACGAATATCGAAAAAAACATTGAGCATTGATTTTTAATTGGCTTCCATTCCTATAATTTTTGACGTTTTTGCATGTCAAACTCATGAACCCTTGTGGGATCAGAATTCGCACAATCAAGCATGTCCAAATAAACCTGTTTACCCTTTTTGCAAAAAAAAAAAAATTCTGACTTATCATAACCAAAATATCCACCAAAATCAGTCGAACGGACTCGCGAGAGATATCCTCCACTTGTATCATCAGTTGCATAGGTCGAGGGTCGTCCAGAATGAGGCATGTCTTCAACAACCTCTCATTCGTCTTTGAAGGCTTTATACCACTCGTAGGCTTGTCTCCCGTAAACTACAATGTGTTTTTCCCTCATCTTTGAAAGTGTTGTTAACAAAAATCTTGATCTTCAAAAGTATTCTATGCTTCCCAACACTACTAAATCGACTAAAAATATCATTATTTCATTTAGAGTACTGCGAGTTTAATTTCAATCATTGAACTGAAACTTAAAAAAAAGTATATTAATAATTGGTATAAATGTGGGGTTTTCGTAACTGGTTAATTTTCAGTCTTTTAACTTTAGGCTATATATGTATATAAATATCATAAATAGGTATGTATATATTTTTGTCGCTTTGTACCGTATCGTTTTACCACAGCTTGATGCTCTTGAAGCTTAATAGCCTAACGAGCTTATTTATCTATTTTTTACTTGGAGCTCTCCGTCATCAACCACTTCGTGTAATACTTCGTGTAATACGTATTTGCTAAAAAATTCTTACTACCGAATTAAAAAAAAAAAAATATTATTAWAAATAGTTCTTAATTAATTTAATAATCAATAACAGTAATTTAGCAAACTTTTTCTTTGTTGAGTTTGTAAGCTTCTTAAAAAGCTATGGGTGCTAGCATTCCATAATTTAATTTCCTATAATTTTCCACATCCCAATATTTGTAAACACTTTTCATTTTATTGAAACTGCATGAATTAATAAACTCTGAGAGGATAAAGTATTTATTTTTTATCTTCTAGGTTTAAGTCTTTTAAAATATATATACATAGCTACTAAACCAATATAATTTTCGAACATATGCGATGAGAAAACTTCTTGCAAACTTCTCTGATACTGAGCAATAGTAGCGCTTGCTTCCCCCTTTTTATGAGTACCGAGTTCACTGGCAAAGTTTTATTTAGAAAAATTCGTTGGAACAAATTGTCAAAAAGTAAGCATTGCAACGACATTCATCGAAATCGGTTCGGAAATTGCGGAGTTATTTGGGTTTTTCTTCTGGCAATATCCTTACGGCCCCTTCAAACACCTGCACCACAGATTTTCACATTTTTTGTTATAACTTGTTATATATTTTGGTATCAGAAGAAGAGATTTTCAGACGTAGTAAATAAATATAATATATATATTTTTTATATAAATGTATGTTTACAATTAAAATATTTTTAGGGCTTAGCCAAGTTCTATATTTACTATACATGTATTTCTCTCTTTTTCAGCTTAATAAAGCGATTAGCTTTCCCACGACACACCATTCTTCAAAATCGGTTCATAAATTGCGAAGTTATTCGAGTTTAGCCGCTTGCATGATATGAAACGAACACGTGTTAATGAACTGTTTTCAACTTCCTGGAAAAAGAACTTCCCTAAATACATCTACTACAGCTTACTCCAAAGAAGTCGACTGAACCAAAATTAGCTGCAATGCAAATACATTGTAATAAAGAAAGAGAAAAATTCATATGGCAGTAAACATTATAATTTCTTGATAATTTTTTAATTTACAGATTATTATATTAATTTTTATAATTATTTTACATTTTACTAAATTGTATAAAATTTAGATATTTACACCTTAATGTTAATGTTACACACTATAATCTTGAATAAATACAGAATAAATGCTATAAACAACTGTTTAGTTGCAAAATTTATTTTTTTAATGAATAACATGTGTTTTATAGTTACAAATGGATACAGTTTTATTGAATTTTTATATTTGTATAATTTTTCAACCAATTTGTTGTCAAACCACCGCATAATAACCTAATAAACGGTATAAGCATGACTTGGTGTTACGTTTATCGAATAACTTTTTTGTCGTTACAGTTTTTGCAACAAAATTACAAAATCAAAATCTTAAAACGATAAGCTTTCCAACGACACCTCATTCTTCAAAATCGGTTCATAATAGCCTAATATATAGCAATACTTGGCTTAGTACCACGTTTCTTCGAATAACTTTTTTTTCGTAATACATTTTATAACCAAAATTACAGAAACAAAATCTACAAGCGATAAGCTTTCCAACGACACCCCATTCTTCAAAATCGGTTCATAATATACAGCAAAAACAGGGCTTGGTACCACGTTTCTTTGAATAAATTTTTTGTTGTAAAAATTTTTACAACAACAATTGAAGAATTAAAATCTACAAGCTCTAAGCTTTCCAACGACACCTCATTCTTCGTAATCGGTCCATAAATGACGGAGATATTCGAGTTTTTAGTTCGGCAACACCCCTACTGCACGGTTATGGGCGCCTAGTACTTCAGGTGAATTTTGCCACAATTTTGCCGCAGCAAAATCTTCGCTGCGCGCGGCGCCACCTGTGTGCGGAGTTTCACGCAAAATATTTTTTCATCTGAGTCACCCTGCACACTTCTGGTAACGCCTTGGGGGTATGCAACATTTTTCGGCACGGCGATCGTGCACTTTTAATTTCCGGCATCGTGCTGCTGCCTGGTTCTGGGTACCTGGTGCATATGCTGGATTTTGCTAAAAACGTCGGACGCATTTTTCCGTGCGAGAAAAATCTCCCAGGGGAGAAATAAAAAATATCGCATGCGACTTTTTTTGTTGTTTTCTTTATTTTAGCATAACTTCCACACCGCTCAACCGATTTGCATGATTTTGGTGTCAAATTAAAGGGAATTTAGTGGCGCTTCGTTTACAGCTGCTGTAAATGAAATCGGGTGGAAATAAAAACACATTTTATGTAAATTTTTTTGTTACTATATTTTTTATTTTTGGAATTACGATTTTTATTTGTAATATTTAAATTTTTCAATCTTTGTTTTATGCATGTATGCACTTTATCGTTGTTGTTGCTGTTGTAGTGATAGCTTCTCACTTAAATTTATTTACGCTTTTTAACTTAACTGTTAACTAAATTTAAATATATTTTATATGTATATATACTACATATATACGCATGTATATGTATATTCATTTATACGTGTATGCATGTACATATAAATTGTTTTAAAGCGAGGATTACAGATTTTCGTTAGAATTAATGGGGAGGGAGGATTAAAATTGTCAAGAAAACAAACAAAATGGTGCAAAATTTTTGTTCTTTCGGGAAATTTTGGGCGATGAGTATAAACGGCGCGAGTGACAGGTAAGAATTAAATTAAATACATATATATGTAATTAAATTAGCTATACAAATACATATGTATGTGCAAGATTTAAGGACTGGTACGCTCGCTGATATTAACAACAATTGGAAATACTTTATATTTTAATTATAATTTCTTTCTGTTTACACATATCCGTTATTTTTACTAGTATATGTACTATAAATGTATGTATGTATATTTATATATATCGCATATTATAGTTTACTTGTGTAAATATTTAAGGCGACCAACGGCTTAGTCTGCGGTTTTTCTCTGTCTAACGCACAAGTTTCGGCAAATATAATATAATAATTTTTTTCTTCTTGTTTTTGCTGTTTGTTGCTTCAATAATTTTCAATAATTTGCTTTTCCATTTTAACTAGCAATTTTACTTCGCTTCTTTGCGACTTTTTTTACCTTTTACCAAAAAAGTTTTCATTTTGTTGTTTTTGTTTAATGTGCTATTTGGACATTTGCATTATCCATGTATGTTTGTATATGGGCGGATGAAGGAACACATATGAATGCATTACAATATATAAATATATTTTTTCGTTTTCTTGCTTGCAATGAAAAATCAAATAAAATTCGTTGTTTTTGTCGTATTATAGTTAAAAGTAAAAAAAAAAAATATTATTATTATAAGTCTTTATGAGCAAAAATAATGCGTTTCGACGTGATGTGACTTGTAGTAGTAGCGCAAATTTACAGTTAATATGCATGTGTGCACTTAATAACAAAAACGAAATATAGCATTTTGACGTTATAAATACAAATTACAGTTAGACATATAAATTTAGGCTTATTTTAAAAATTTACGCTAAGCTTAAGCCTAGACAAAAATATTTATAAACATATTTCTATATATAAATACTTAGAGCAAAAGGTAAATATAGTAAATGTTGTTGTATAAAGAGCGGAAAACATTGAACTAAAGCATTTAAGGGCACTGCACAAATAAATAT